GTGGACACCATCTAGGGACTGGGAGATGGGGAGTCTAACGTGACCTGGGGCAGCTGTGCCTGGCAGCTGGTGTGTTATGGGACTCTGCTCCATGGGGGAGACTTCCCAACACTCTAGCACCTCTTGGTTCCTTTCTCTCGCCTGTGTCCTGACTAAGGCCACGAACTCCTCCAGCTCGGAATCCCAGGTCAGTGCGGACTTTGGCAGGCGAGTCTATCATATGGCTTCATTCATGACCCCTGGGGGATCCCTGCGGACTCAGCATCCAGGCCAAAATAAAAAACAAGCCCTGAGCCGACCTTGCATGCACACGCAATCTCTCTCTCTCTCTCTCTCTCTCTCTCTCTCTCTCTCTCACTCATGTGGGCATCTTGCCTCAGAACAGGAGCAGGCGGTGCCCACCTCCAGGCCTGAGCCTGCTGTGTGGGACACAGGCCTCGCAGAGCACTTGTACTAGGCAGGAGCAAAACCTGACCCAACTGCTGACACGTCTTTGAAAGGAGGAGGAAAGTTTGCAATTATCTTTTCTATCACTGCCTTGGGTGGGTGGTCACAGTGCTTAAATACTCCTAAAACCTGGGCTTGTAAAAACTGCAGGAGGAAAAAGAAAAGACTGGTAGATTGTTTAGAACCCCTTTCCAGAAACTTCCACGGATAATTCTAACTGTGAAGCAGGATGCAAACCCACGTTTCAAAAGCAGTGGACATCCAAATTAAACAGGGAATCCATTAATATTTGAAGATCTATTTTCAGATAGTGCTTCTTCCTTAAAGGGGAAGAGCGTTTGCATTTCAAAAAACACTTAAGGTCCAAGTTGTTGTGAGGTGAGAGATGAGGGTCTGGACTGCCTGGCACTGGTTTTACAGAGTTGGGGACATTATGGTGCCTGAGGCCCAGTGCTTCCTTTCTGGACAGTGATGGAAATGAAACCCACGGACTGAAGCTTAGCAACTCATCTCCAAGTAGCTGGGCCCCTGCCTTTCTCTGTTTCACTGAACTGTAAGGAATTTTGTATTTTGGCTTGAAAAATGGTCTAATTTAGATGCTGGATGACAAGAATTCACCCAGGCAGGGTATTAAGTAGAGAAGAGGGCATACTGGAAGGTTGGCAAGGCCATGAGGGTCACCATGACCAGTACCACAGCTGGGCATGCTGGTTAAGGGGGGGCACTCAGGGACCCGGAAGAGACCCACTCTAAGGGAGGAAGCATGGCTGATGCCTGTGGCCCTGACAGCTTTCTGGTGAAAGCCACTTCCAGATGTGACTCTATAATACCTGAAACCAGACTGTTTGGAGGCAGTGGGAGATACATTTTTTTCCTCTGAAGGAAAAATGTGCATCTCTGGAACATTTGTACTCAGAATTCCTTCCTGCTTTTCAATTTGTTTGCTTGAAGATCAGAAACAAAACCCAGGAGAGTTCTAGAAAAAGCCCCTGTACGCTTCTGTTAGGGATAGAAACAGCAGGGGTGGGGAGGGTGGTGGAAGAAAGCCCATTGAGGCAACAGTTTGCTTTCCAAACATCTTTGTGTCCTAAGCTGTTGGGCCCTGATTCCACCTCTTCTAAAAAAAAAAAACTATGGTGGGCTTCAACTTCCCCAGACAGGGACGTGGGGGAATCCTACTCATTTTCAGCATCCTAAATGTCAGGAACGGTGGTCATCCCAGTAGCCGGATGAGCACAAGCTCACTGAAGGAGACAGAGGCAGAGGACCCTAAGGGCTAGCCCAGTAGTCAGTGCTCTGCCAGCCCAGAACTCTCCAGGGAGCTCCAGGCTGCTGGGTAGGAGTGTTCTAGCAGCCTCACAGTTACCTGAGGGAAGGGAGGGTGGGAAGTGTTGCCCTAGTCCCCAGGCAACACTAGCAAAAGGAGGGACAGCTGTCCTCACCCACTTCTTTGCCTTTGGAAAGGAAGAGGGACATTCTGAGAAGTGAGGATTGAGAGAGCAGGAAGGGGGCAGCCTCAAAAAGGGCCTCCACTGTCCTCTGACTCTGCTGCCTGCACACAGGGTATTGGGAAAAGGCACCAGGGGCTCAGCTGAGGGGAGGGCACAGGCTTAACCACAAGGGGCTGGCCCCTGAGCTGTCAAAGCTTCCCCAGGCAGTGAGGACCCGGTGTCAGGTAGGGGCAGGTCCCTGTGTGTGGTCTCTGTCAGGCAGGGGCAGGTGTCTGTTCTTGATAAACATCCTGGTTCCTTGTATCTGTCTCCCAGCCAGGTATGAGGCTGACATTTATCTCTCTGGTTTGGAACTCACTGCAAGCTTCACAGTCGAGTGTGCTGCAGATACATCCTCAGGTGGACAGTGGAGCTGGGGGACTCAGGTCGCCGGGTCCCAGGGCTCTCTTCCTTATCCAACCATGTTGCTCCCTAAGGAAGCAGTGATAGCTCCATGCAGATACAGGGGATGATGCTAATGTACAGACTGTACAAGACTAGGAACATGGGTATCTACACTGCATGGCAGAGGATGGACTACCTCACTGGCCTGGGCAAAAGCTTGCTAGAAGCACTGTGCATGTGCTGAAGAGTCCGTTTTGGAGGCCCACAGGAAAGGGTGACTTGGGATGGCGCTGGAGCTCTGTGGTAGAGGGCTTGAGCACCATGTGCAGGGCTTTGGGTTCAATCCCTCCAGGCTGACTCTGAGTCCACCCTCTTCTCACTTTCTGGGATATACAGACCCTGTGTTATATAGATGCAACAATGCACGTTTTCAGGACCAAAGACTCAGGAACCTGTAGCTGGCTCACTGCTCTGGAACCACCTGCCCACGCTGTTTGTGGTCTGCACTAGTGGGACTGGGGTCAGAAACACAACACCCTACCCCCTGCAGGTCTTCCTTGGCCACTGGAGAACCAGCCGCCTCTGTGCCCCTCACTTCCGGTTTAGTGACCCGGAAGCGGGACAGGGTGCTGCCTGGACATGCGGAGGCGGCCATGTTCGGGTACCTGCGTGGAGGTCCCTGTGCATGCGGTGTTCGCATGCCCTCCTGGACAGCTGTTTCTCACCATGGGAGGATTTGCCTCGTGTACAGAAAAGGGTCTGTGGATTCTGCAGGCTCGGTCCTTGCTTTGATCAGTTGTCGAGCTTTACAGCAGAGTGAGAGCGTCCTCCGCCATGGACAGCTCCTGAAGCGGAGCTGCCGCTTGCTGCCCCTTACTGGCACTGCACTTACTGCCTTTCTAACTCACCAAAATTCTAGCTTGAGAAAGTGGGGGCTTCTGGTGTAAATCAAGGTCACTATGGAGAGCAGGGGAGGGGCCTGGTCCCTGGGGTGGGGTCGATGCCTTCCGGTGCTGCGGGAGGGAAGGGAGGGGAAACACCATCTAGCATTCAGGCTGTGGAAGGTGAAGTGGAGTAAGAAGTCATTTGGGAAAATATTATATTATAAACACATATAATAATATGTACACGCTCATATACATCCCAAAGCGAAGCCTCATGAGGAATTCCGTTTCTTTTCAAAGGAAGGCTCCACTACGATAAAGCATTCCTATAGCGGGAATCAACTACAATGAAATAATTTAAGAATTTCATTTATACTCTATCTGTGTTCTCTACAGAAAGTCTACAGTAAAGGATATGTGGAGGGGAATGTTTAGGGTGAGATTAGATGCTAATGTATTCTTCAAAAATAGGCAGTGATTTTTCCCCCCCTCTATTCACATTTAAAATAACTACACAGTGACAAAAAGCAGAATTCAAAAACCAAGTGGCAGGGCAATGAAAGTGTGGCTGAGGTCCTCAGACTGGGGCTTCTGCATACAGGTCAGTTCCACTGACCTCAAGATTAGATATCTCCATCAGACACTTACCCACATATAAATTCGGTGTAAAGCTTTATTTTTCCCCCATCTACTTAAAAATTTTTTTTTCTAAAAAGTGAAAGAAGAAGAAAAACTCTTATAAAATATGAGGTTCAATATATGAGAGCAAGGAATGTCTCAGGAGGCTGCTGGGCAATGTGGCTTTGTCTCCCTGTGCCACGTTAGCCCCATGTCCTTGGCTTGCACCATGACAACCCTTCTTCCCTCGTCACACTGCCACAGGCTCTGGGCAAAGCTGCCCCTTTTCTTTCTTTCTTTTCTTTTTTTTTTTTTTTGTGGTACGAGGGATTGAACTCAGGACCTTGCATTTGCCAGAGATGTGCGGCACCACTGAGCTACATCCCCATCCCCTTTTCTTTTTGACCTAAGGGGCATGCGATTTGGTTTTTACTGCCTTGCCCACCTGGTTGAAGGAGGCCCTGATGATGGTGGCCCAGGTGTCATACGTACCACAGCCAGGCTGTGCCAGCACCTTCTGCACCTGCTTCTCAGACACAAGCGCCTGGTTCCAGCTTTCACAAAATCACCCTGTCCTGCCTGAGCACCTCACTCTAGGTTAGCAGAAATGGTTTCTGATCTAAATCATACCTTCCAGGATGAAAATTCATGTGTTCCTTTCCCTCCTTCCCAAAATGCTTCAGTGTCTTTTTTTCTTTCTCCATTTTAATAAGCAAACTGTACCACCATCGTATTCTGATATGTTCCTTTTTAAAAGCTGTATATCACATTAATGGAAGTGTTTACTGCTGGGAATATTTTCCATGTACAATGATCTGTAACCCTCTTATCTCAACTAGTTGCACATTATTAGTTCATATCCAGTTCAATTTATAAATTAACAGAGGTGCCATTTGTCTGTACAAAAATCAATGCATATTTATGAACTTCTTTTATTCAAATAGATTTTCAGAAGCCTGGTAATGTGGACCGTGTGGCCCCAGAACACACCCACTTTGACCAAAGGACAGAACATCTCTCTTACATTCGGAAAAGATAGCCTTCTATGTGTTCACTTCCGTTACGAAACCCACTGGAGAAGCTGTTACCAACTGAATTTGTGATTTCCTTCTGAATTTCCAAGTTATTCTTATTTATTTTTTCCATTTTGTTTTTGCACCAAGGAGACTGCAGTCACATAATACTCAGGAACTGATTTCCTCTCTTTGGACTGAAAAATTAAACAGATACTAAATTATGACAGTGAATTTAGAAAGGAGGGCTCCAAGGGCTCGAAAGAACATGTCTGGGATAATATGATGCTTCTAAGAGTATTGCAATCACATCGTGGCAATCACCGGAGCGTGCCGCGTAACTACCTCCTCGGCTAATATGCTTTCTTCTCGGTGATGACTAATCATGTTCTATTAAACAGCGGTAATGCTGGAAGAACTCAACTATACAAGTGTAATGAAGCCAGTATTCTCCCTGGACAGATTAGCTACAACTGATTTGACACATACCATCATAGGGGCTTCAAACCTGACAAACTCTGTGCTTGCTTCTGATTTATGTCGTCAAGCTCCTCGGAGAAGAGATGAAATCCAAGTGCTCCTTTTGGTAGAGGTGAAACGTACTCATGTGCTTAACTGCCAGTTAAGGAGAGCTGCCCCTTCTGCGTGCTCCTCGCCCGAGCCCCTCCCCCTCTGGCCCTGGCCCGTGTCCCGGCCCTGGTCCCGGGCCCTGTGCTATCAAACAAGCAAGGCCTGGTGGTCTCTCCTGTGCCCGGTTGCCAGTTTGTGGAAAGGAATCGGTTCTGCAGCATCCTGGCGTCCTCTTCACCCCTCAAGGATGTCCAGGTTTGGAGGTTTCATTAGGGGCGAATGGGCGGGTGGGCAGGCGGTGACCACCAGAAAGGGAGGGGACGTGCCAGGACTCACGTGCTGACTTCCGAGGGCTGCGCTCGCTGTCAGATGATGCTGGGCACCCTGCCGCTGCCGCTGTTCCGGCTGTTGTTTTTCCGGGACAGGTTGGGGGTGGCCATGAGCACGAAGCGCTCGTCGGGGCAGCCGTACTGCAGCAGCGCATCGATGCACTCCTGGCTGGACGCCTGCCGGGCGTAGGCCAGTGCCGTGTTCCCATGCGCGTCTCGGGCCATGACGTCCACCCCGTACTGCAGAGGTGACAGAGGGGGTATCACAAAGCGGGGAGGGCGGGGCCACGGGGACTGGGGCAGAGGAGCCCAGCGGGGAGCAGGGCTAACAAGTGCTGGTGGCCACTGGGCCTTGAAGGTGCCCTTGCCCACTGGAGCCGGGGTTCAGGCACCAGGAATGAATCAAGGATGACTTCAGTTTTTGCTGTTTCTATTTTGACTTTCCAGTTATAAATAGAAAAAAATACCCCACCTTTAAAAAACCCCAAGACAATTCATTTTCATTATAGAAAAAAACCTAAATAACATGGCCGACTATAAGAGAACCACCCCCCTATAATTTCACCACGTAACCTCGGTGAACAATTTAGAATATTTCCATCTAATGGTTTCCTTTTGATCTAAATGTACACACGTTTAAAAGAGAAGACTAAACATTTCCTTTACTGAACACTGGACTGTGATCACTCCTTACATCATCAGAAGTCCTCAAAGGCATGGCTCATAGTAGCCACCTAGTATCCCACCAAACTAACAAGACCCAGCCACTACCACTCTGGGTTTAACTGTTGCATATTCTGCTCAACACCTGTCTCTGGTAGAGGAAGTGCTGTGATGTTTGAATCTTTTGCAGGATTTCTGATGGAGTGAAAGTGAAGGGTAGAAGGGGAAATACGAGCTGATAGCATGCAACATTTTACAGCTTCTTGCTCATGAAAACAGGTGGTTTTGCCCCACCTCTGCCACCCAGTGTGTGTGGGGGTCTTTGCACACTCATGTGAGCGTGGAGGGCTGCTGCGAGGGGCTCTTGGCTACCCTGAGAAGGGCACTGGCCTGCAGTTTCTTGTGGGTGGAAGTGCGCCCCGACCCCCAGATTGCTACCCTGAAGTCCTGGCCCCTGGACCTTGGGATGTGACTATCTCTGCCCCACTTCAACCGGACTGAGGTCCTTATGGGACATGGAAGCAATGGCAGGAACGCATGCCACAGAGAAGCCACCAGCAGCAGGTGTCTGCTTGCCAGGGAGAGAGGTCTCAGAGAAGCCAGCACTGCCCGCTTTGGCTGCACAGCCTCCACAGCTGTGGAAAACATGTCTGTCAGGTCAGCGCCCACCTCTGGTATTGTCACCATAGCCTGAGCCTTAGTTTGTATTCAGTCACCTGTTACTGCTGCGTGTAATTGAGGTTAGATATTTGAGTGACTTAGTATGTGCCAACACTCTAGGTCTCCCATGGTGCCCATTGCAAAAGGAGATTAGAAAACATGCAGAAACTTATGTCACTTGAGTCTCAACTACCCAACTAGGAACTTTTCCCCACTTTCAGACAGGTAACAGTGGCCTACGATCAGGGAGAGGGTACCAGAAGTGGAGTAACGTGGACGTGGCCACTGCCGGCCCTGCCCTCTGAGACTCCTGTCCACCAAGGCCCTACTGGCCACGCCCAGCCAACCCCAGAACTTGCCTGCTGGCCCCGCCCACCGCAGACCACACCCACAGAATGGCCTCTGCCCACCTCAGGCCCCGCCCACAGCCCGCCCCACAATGTGCTTGGGCTTGGCCACCTACCCAGATGAGCAGCTGGGCCAGGACCACGTTGCCCTTGCGGCAGGCCAGGTGCAGCGCCGTTCGGCCGTCACCCTCCCCGCAGGTCTCGTTCACCTCGTCCCGGGAGCCGTGTGCCAGCAGCAGGATGACTGTCCTCAGGTCCTCGTCGGCAGTGGCTCGCAGCAGGTGCTGGCCCAGGGACAGCTCTGTGCACGGCAGTGGGGCCAGGAAGAGCTTCTGCTCGTACTTTGCCCGGATCCACCGCTCCTTCTCTTCCCTGCAAAAGTCCCCAGACAGGTGTGGTCACCACGGGGCACAAGGGTCGGGGCTGCAGCGCTCGGCCGTCGGCCCATTGGTCAGGAGACATTTAGAAGGAGTGAAGCGGCAGGGACAGGGGTCCCACGTGGCACGAGGAAGCCCTATGGGGTTAGGGTCATCGCCAGAGATACCCAAAGTGGCACCCTCCCCGCTGAGTCGGGACAGGAGGAGCCTGCGGGTGGCTGTGTGCCCTGCCTCCCTGGATTGAAGGAACCCTTGGAGGAGGGCATGGCAGGGACTCCAGCAGATAAGCTTGGTGACTGGACACTTCCCTAATCTCTTGATGTTTTGAAAAGGTGGCAGAAGCCTAAGTCCCTTCAGTGACAAAGAACAGCTGGGTTTTCTGAGGCGATGGGTTCCAGGGCCCAGCCTAGGGAACAAGAGGGTGCCAGGGGGTGGGGGTGGTGGCGGCAGAGGACAGGATGAAGCTGGCTCTGCGCAACAACTGGCTCCTCCCCTGGGGTCTAAAGAGGATCTGGAAGGAAAGCTGAGAGAAAAGAGGATAGGACGGATGGGGAGAGCAGCTGGGTTGGGAGAGAGAGTGTTTGGTTTCTCAAAACAGAAAAAAAAATCCAAAAAGAGATACTAAAAACTTGGTAATCCTCTAGAGCAGCCATGGCGAATCTTTTGGAGACAGAGTGCCGAACGGTAATCCACATCCACTTATTCTTTGTAAAGTGCGAACACTGCAGTTAAACCTGGATACTGAGGGAGGACTCTGCCATGCACCTCAGGTTCACCACCACTGCTCTAGATTCTGCAGTGCTGCCGGGGGAGTGGGAGGCTAAAACTGTGAAAAGATCAACGAGAGATTTTGTAAGTAGCTCTTGAAATCTTACAAGTAGCCTGGGGTGTGTTCTGTGAGGGCCGGACGTGACCTTTTTGATGAGGATGACCAAGAAAAGCCCAACATGTGAGAGTAGCTGTAATTACAGAAGCTTCGGCAAGAGGCTGATTCACAAGTGGCCTCTCCTAAAACCCAGAATCCCCTCCAGCAGGACAATCAGGGTACAGAGCTACCAGCCACGCGAAGAGCCACTTAGGCCTTCCGCTGCAGCCTGGAAAGGAAACTCATTACCCCTGACATTTCCGCTTCCGAATTACAGAGGCCAGGCCTTGTTTACACCTTTTACCCGTGTTTACACTGTGCCTGGGGATCTGGGGTCGGGTAAGCCCTAATCTGTTTTTAAATACTTAGGCAAACAGATTCTTGCAGGAGCAAATCTGGATTAGTTTTGCTTCGCTTCCTGGTACATGTGCGTGACCCCAGGGTGACCCTGGCACTTTTCATTCAGTGATTTCCAGGACAAACAGGCGCTGTGGCCGAGGGCTGAGCGACACCCACAAATGCACCCCACACCCTGCTCCACTTGGGCACACAGTGCGACAACATCGAGGTGATGCCGCTAAGGGGGACAACAAGAAGCCCCGGTGGCTGGGATGCTGTTTAAGAAAACCCATTTATAATACGGTAAACGTTTGTTGGTGCATGTCATAAATCATGAAAGAGAAAGAGCAAAATGTGAATTAAATGAAAAAGGATAATGGTGTAGGCCATGTCCAGATTTCCAAGTTCCAATTTGCTAACTCTCATTTTTTTGGCAGACATTAAAATGAGGCTGTCTTATTCTGCTCCGATTGATTCTAATAGTCATTGCCAAATCATCCAGGGATAAAGCAGAGAACTTAACACAGGAACTCCAGTCTTAACTGCAATCATTACATTTTCTTCTTAATAAAAGCAGTGTGATGCCTCAGCTCTTAGGCCTTTGCTAAGGTCTCTTGACCAGAAACTGGGGTGACCTGTCCTCGAACACAGTCACCCCACAGGAGGCTCCCTGGGGGACACCCACACATGGAGAATGAGCTGCCCTTTGCTTTCACAAAAATCAGCTCCGCGTAGGACCCAGAGTAAAGGTGGGTCCAAATTTTGTAGGGCTGAAAATTGATACCATTCTGGGAGCTGTCTTTAAAAGTAAGGTTTGAGTATTACACACCTGAAACTGGGAAAAAGGCCGGAAAGAGAGCCAGGCCAGGGAAGGCCTGGGGCTCAGGGCGCAGGGCTCCCCAACTTTGTGTGACTGCAAAAGCCCCGACAGGACAAGGTGCGGGCAAGGCTTAGAAACCTCCACCGCGCCACACGGCAGCCCGGGAGATTGCCAGGAAATGGAACAAGTGCCAGGCCTCAGCAGACCCCTATCAGAGTCCAGGGGGACCCACCTTCTCCACCGGAGGGGCCCCCAGATCTGCTCCGCACGTGGCTTTCCCAGAATGGAAGCCTGCCATGCCGACTGCGGGCCCTTTGGGACTGCGGAACTTCAGTGCTTTTCCATCATCAGCAGGTGGCTGGGAGGCTAAGGGGGACTCCGGCCTCTTGCCTGCACTCAAGTCCAGCCAGTGTGCAAACAGCTGAGGTGAGCTAAGGGGTCAGGGCTGGTTCCCCCACATTCAAGCACTTACTCCTCCTCTGGGGCCGCTGCTCACCCGGACAATAGAGGGGCGATGCTCAGCAGTCTGCCTTCCCTGGTGGCAAAGGAGACTGCCGGGCTAGGAGGCTGGGGTTTCCAGCAATAGTGAGATCAGGGTTCAGTGTGTGCCTTTTGCTTAGTGGTACACAGCTTTGCCTTTCCCATAATTGCAGAAACTGTCCAGGACCCTCCTTTCCTTGTCCGCAAAATGGGCCCAGAGACAAGACACATGCAGACAGCACACTGGCCACTGGGCAGGCGGGTGCTGGTACTCTGATGGGACAGCATCGGCTCCGAAGCCAGCTGTGCCACCATCGGGCCATGGTGCCGAGATGCCTGCTGGGTGCCTGTGGACACTGAGACCCCAGGTCTGCTCCTGGCTGGGGAGGTGACCCTTTGGCCCCCAAGGGCACAGAGGGTGCCCTCGCTGGGCTAGTGTGGGTAGCGGGTGTTACAGAGTGACCTGTGTGCCACCCAGATTCATGTACCTTAATCTCCAGGGGGGTTGGGAGGACAGAGAGCCTTTAGGGAGATAATTATCAAATAGGGATGACCCTAACGCACAAGGGCAGTGTCCACACAAGAGGAAGAGATGCCAGTCACCCTCTCCCAGAGTGCGTAGGATGAGTGGGAAGGCAGGACACAGCGAGAAGGCGCCACTGCAAGCCAGGAACCAACCCTGCCCACACCGTGATGGTAGACATGGGGCCTCCAGGAACATGAGCGGCCAGAGTGCTCTGCTGCAGGCACCCAGTGCGAGGCCTGTCCTGGCAGCCCGAGCCTTCGCTCCCCGTCACTGTCCCTGCAGTCAAGACGGGAAGGACACATGGCGACGGAGGTTTGTTTTTTGTAAGAATATTCTGTGGAAGACCACTGCCCTAGGACACCGTGACCTGGAGGCACCAATACTCCAGTGGTTACCCTGATGTCCTGGCTCACTTCTGGGATCCCGGGCTGGCTGGGCCGCGCCTTCCATTCTCCCCAAGGAAGGCCAGTTCAAGAGCAGTGAGCTGGCAGTAGATCACCTCGCCTCGTTCCAATGCCCCGGAGGACCACTGCTCACAGCCTCTGTTAGCTAATGAGCTAAAAAATGAATTATTGGCATGGCTGCCGTCAGCACAGAGGAGGGGCCAGCTCCTCATCAGATGGTGGTGCTGACGCACCTTTAGATAAATCAGCCATGGGAGAGCACGGGGGAGGGGCAGCAGCACGCCAGAGGACACTGACCCCAACCCTGGAAACGGGAAGAGAAGACACCTTCAAAGACGCCAAGGTAGGCCTTTTCTTGTCATCCTGACTCAAATGAGTCCCCTTGTGGGAGGCCCTCTGCCTCCCTCAGGGCCACGGCCAAGAGGAGCTAGGATCTGAGCACAGGATGTAGGGCCGCGGGCCCTTGGGCATCCGGGCCCACGAGGATGGAACGTGGACACTTCCCACGTTCACCAAACAAACCCCACACCAAACACAGAACAAACCCTGTGCAAGTGTGGCCAGACTCTGGGACACCACGGCACAAGGGGAAGATGCAGGGACACCATGGTGGGGTGACTATTCCAAGTCTGAAGAGGAGGAACAGGGTGGAGAGCCTGGTACAGACTGGCTTCCTCTCCCTTGGCACACACATCATCCTGGCCATCCTGACGGGGCTGGGCAGCACAGGAAGCCAGGCTGCGTGTGGAAACGGGAACCCCCATGTGCTAATTAGCGTGCAGTCTCCCGCCCAGCATCCCAGGACCTGACCTGGCCTCAAAGAAGGGCCGGAGACACCAGGGCAGCGGGAAGCCCAGGTGAACTGAAGTTCCCCTCTGGGGAAGAGATGGGCACCAGATCCCCTCCTGCTTGTCTGGGGTGTAGATCAGGGACTGAGTGAGGGAGGAGCAGGAGGGCTCCTCACCTGCCTGTGGATGAGAATGTGGGTCAGTCCTGGGGGCTGAGATGTGGCTGCTCCCAGACTGCCTGGCCTTACACCAGTGAGATCCATGCTCATGATCAGAAACCAGGTGGTTCCAGGTACAGCACGGCTACCTTAGCGGTGAGAGAGCTGAGGTGGCCTTCAGAGGCCCTGGCAGAGGGAGGACAGAGGTGAGCGTTTATGCTTGCAAAGGAAAATGGGCAAGGTCAGGACAGTGGGGAGAGAGTGTTCTCCCAGATCTGTGGCGAGGACTGGGAGGGTCCAGCCACAGTGTGCAGGCAGCACGGGGCTCTGTTCTGGCTCATGGACCCTGATGTTTGCATGAGGTCCCCATGTCCTGTGCTGGAAGACACTGGCAGGAGCCCAGGCTCGGAGAATGTGGCAGCCACATGACAACGCCAGAGACAGCCATGATGATGACATAATGACAATGATGGTTTATCTGTTCTCAGGTGACCAGGTGTCCCAGGAAGCTGCACAGGAAGCTGGGACTGGCTCTTTCTCATCGGGTGGAAAGGCTGCATTTGGTGCCTCCCTCTCCTCAGATGCCTGCTGCTTCCAAACCTCGGTGCGCATAAT